TGAGGAGGAAGGAGCGGCAGAGACAGCGTGTGATGAACTGACCCCAACCCCCATTCCCCGTCCCGCTGTGCTGCTCGGGGGGAGGAGGGAGAGAAGTCGGGAGTGAAGCTGAGCCCGGGAAGAAGGGAAGGGTGGGGGGAAGGGGTTTTTAGATTTGTTCTTATTTCTCATTATCCTACTCTGATTTGATTGGCAATAAATCAAATTAATTCCCCAAGTCAAGTCCATTTTGCCCGTGATGGAAGTTGGTAAGTGATCTCCCTGCCCTTATCTCAGCCCATAAGCCTTTCGTCATATTTTCTCCGACCTGTCCTGTTGAGGAGGGGGGAGACAGAGCAGCTCGGTGGGCACGCCTTACAGTTTTACAATGTACATTCTGAGGTCTTTTACAACAGCACTGCGAGAAGCTGTCCGGGGGTTGGAAAGCGTACATCTCTTAGCAGCCCAGACCAGAATAACCTCAATGAAAATTACCAGCTAGGCACAAAATCCCTTCCTTGTTCATCAATGCAAGGAGCAAAGATGGCAACCAAAAGCCAGGCACTTTTTCGCCCAGCTGCCTCCCTTGCTATTCCCACTCCTACAACTTGAGAAGTTGAAAGAGTTAAAAAGTGGCTTCGCCCACTGAGCACGGGAGCTATTGCCCTCTCTGCCTCTCTTTTGTCGCCAATACAACCTGATTTTCAAAAGATATCAAAAGACAACACATGATTTATGACAGCAATTGCGTGACTCACCTGTTGTGGATATCCTGTCCAGCATTCCTTATGGTCCCAAAGCCAAGGCTTCTGGAAAGAAAATGCAACATGAATTTGAGAATGCCAGAGGAATTCTCTTATCAACTCTCTAACTCCTTTAGTTTGTTACTACTACAGTCTTGGTTGTGTTTTATTACAGGCAGAGCTGGTGGGACTCTCTGGAATTCCATTGCCGAGGGATTGCCACTACAAGAACTTGCAGTCGCTTGTGACATTGCCAATTCGTGTGGCTCCTGCGCTGAGATTTCACATGCTGTTTAGCCCAGCCCCAAATAAAATAGCTCAGGGAAGATTTCTACCAACTTGTGGCAGCCTTCTACAAGTTTGGGGTGGTGGTGGTGATGTTTTGAATGTGTTAAAATTTTCTTGCAACTATTTCATGAAAGAATCTCTGTGGTTTGGACAGCAACACTCAAACGTAGTAAGAGGGCTGAAAACTTGTGTGTCAGGAACACGGTTTTTCCTCTAACGGTGAGGCTCATGCTGCGGTCCGTTAAGTAATGAGCCTCTGAAGGATCCTACTTTGTTCACACTTCATATAAAACCGGTTGTTTAGAACTTGGCAGCTTAGAAACATGGCAACTAAAGTCCCTAAAAGTTCTTCCTGCACGGAGCACACCCTGACCCTTTGCTGTGCCCGGATTTAATCAGAGCAAGCACGTCCTAGAGCATACAGTGATGGAACATACTCTATGTCACTTCTGTAAGGGTAATTTTCTATAACAGTTCTGTAGGCTCCAGATATCAGAGCTACGAGTGAGAAGGCGACATTTCTCAGTCTCTCACTGAGCACCCGCTGGTGCATGAGCAATACAGAAGGCAAGAAGGAAGCAGAGGTTTTTTACGAGCAGCGGTAATTAGGAGTAGACACAGCCTCCCGCTGGCTGGGCATGGGGCTGGGAGTAGGATTTACAGCAAATACAGGTACAGAACCAGGAAAGATGTGAGCTATAGAATCAGAGAGGACAAAGCGAAAAAACTCTTAAACAACTATGGCACAGCATGTTACCTAAATGGAAAGGAACCCCAGATCCCTGAATTTCATCATTCCTCCACTCTCAGCAAATAAAGCTGTTCTCTGGTGGCCTACTGTGAGATCACATTCTGTTGCTACCTGCTATTTCCCTGACTCACGGGGCAGAGGTTTTTGCCATCAGTCTAAAGCTTCTAATACAGAATTTAAACATTAGCTTTTTTTTTTAAAGAAAGAAGGGGGTTTTTCACAAAAACAAATGCATGTTAAAATACTACTCAGATTGCAAAGTAAACATGCAAAAGTCAGGAAAGGCCACATGCAGATACACCCTGTCACTTTAGTTCTTTGTCCTTCCTTTTAACGTAGCCATTTTGGTACAATTTTTAGGTAACAGAATAACATTCTGTTTTCTATGGCACCTAGAGGTGCTGTCTGTAGGACAGATGCCTCCTTGGCTTGTGAAAATTGGAAGATGTGTACTGAATAAAGAAGAGGCTTTCACGAAAAGTGAAGATGATCTTTCATTCCTAGAATGGTCAGATACCATGCAGAAGAGCAGGATTTTGCCCCTTCTGTTGCCACAGGGCTCTTGTACCATGCTGAGCAGGTCATCCACCCCAAATTATCACAGCTGGCCCCAAAGACTAGCCCTTCTGGTTTGATGTACAGATCCACAAAACACTGCAGCTGGGATTTAGATACCTTCACTCCTCTTCTAGCTCGTCCTGTAAGCCTCATACTCCCCAGGGTAACTTAAATTCTGACTTGAAAGTCGGGGTCAGTTCAAGAGTCCCTCACTTGTTACCATAAAGAGAAGTTACCAGCACACTTTGTGCCTGCTGTCTTGGGATCTGCAGGTTTTCCATTACTTAACCCTTCAGAAGGTGTCAGTGTAGAATACTTTTGCAAAGCTCACCTAGGGAACCGGATTCAGCAAAGGAGCCAGGGGAACCTTTAAAACACAGCCAGAGGATGACCGGTGCCCCTAGTCCCAGCTTAATGACCACAGCTCAGTGATTAGAGCATGCGTGTGGCTTCTGTTACCTCTTCTGCCTGTTGAGGCAGTTCAATTTGTATTAGGAGAACTCATCATTTATCAAATCAGAGAAAAGGCAGAGGCATGAGCCTGAACCAATGACACCTCGGGTAAGGAAAAGAAAATTAATAAATAAAATTATTAAATTGCAGTCCATGCTCCAAAGGAAGCCTGAGGGTTTTACCTTAAACAGGTATTCTATACAACACACAAACAGGCTCTGCAGCTTCCATCTCAGGTAAGTGTTCTACCTCCTACCCCACTGAAATGTATTTTTACACAGTCCCAGTTGTCTTCTGCTTTGCCAGAAGAGGAAACCTGTTGGTTTTGAACTAGAGCTTTTAACATAAGCCCAGTCCGCTATGTTTGTGGTCTCGTAAGCGTGCTGTGCGGAGGATACACACTGACCTGGTGGGAAAACCTCTATAAGAAGGTCTGAAAGGACATGCTTGACAACAAAACCTGCCATTCTTGCAGGCACTGGCTCGGTAGAACAGCAGGGGGCACTGCTTGTGTACTCACATCGTACAGGACAGCAAGTCCAGTGAAGAAAGAAATGATGTAAAATGTAAACCTCCAGCTACAAACAAACAAAACAAAGCACGTTAGAACCCCATTCATTACCCACCAAGCTGCAACCCCGTGTATCAATCACACTCGTGCAAAGGAGGACACCATTAAGGCAAAGACATCCAGTCACACGTTCAAGGTTTGCCTGGATCATCCCAGGAGTGGCTCTTTGCACGTCACTAACACATTCAACAGACTTCACAGAGAGCAAGTCTTCTGCTTTAGAGAAGGCAGAAAATATGAAAATCCCGCTGACCAAAATCACCCAGAAATTATCCCAAACTTTCCCAGCACTAGCAGATGCATGGGGTAAAAGTCAAACAATACCAGTCTCTCTCCTAGGCATTTGGAGATTAAGCATGCTAAATTCATTAGCAAGTAAAGTAATTAATTACTGTCATCTTTGACTCAGTCAGGAGCTGGTAATGATTTACCCAAATTAAACCCACACAGAAGTAAATATGAGCCGCTTGCCAAGTTCAGTGGACAGAGGCCGGCCACACTGACTATACACACATGTAATAAGGAACGAGGGGCATTTCAGCCCAACAGAATAAACAAATTGCTAATAAACTAACCCCAGAAAACCTTCAAAGGAGTAAAACTGTATAAATCAGTCCTTTAATTTCCTAAAAATCTCCATAACAAATCAGAAGTAACTATGTTTTGAGAGAGCAAGACTCCACCTGGCTACGAAACAGCCGGGAGCTCCAAGACAGACACAAACTGTACAAAGCTACTACGTCACATCAGAAAGGCGTTCTTTCTCCAGATGCACATGGTGATAGAGGGAAGGTGGGAGGACACCATCCTCAGTGAGTGGAGTCAGGAAAGTATTTACTATTCACTATTTACTATTTACTGCAAGTCAGCTGAGTGCAGGGAGAACTTAGCTTTCATCTCGGTGGAAGCAGATGAAGCATGGTTGCTTTACAACTCCTTGTCCACAGGTTTTGTAAATATCATAGAATCACAGAATGTTTTGGGTGGGAAGGGACCCCTAGAGCCCACCCAGCCCAACCCCCCTGCAGGAGCAGGGACACCTTGAACCACAGCAGGTTGCTCACAGCCCCCTCCAACCTGGCCTGGAATGTTCCCAGGGATGGGGCCTCCACCCCCTCTCTGGGCAACCCCTGCCAGGGTTTCACCACCCTCACTGGAAAGAATTTCTTCCTTAGACCCAGTCTAAACCTACCCTGGTTTAGTTTAAAACCATCCCTCCTGGTCCTGTCCCAGCTGGCCCTACTAAAAAGCTTGTCCCCCCCTTTCCTCTGGGCCCCCTTTAAGCCCTGACCGGCCGCACTCAGCTCTGCCCGCAGCCTCCTCTTCTCCAGGCTGAACACCCCCAACTCTCTCAGCCTGTAAATATTTCTAACTGCAACTATCTGGAATATTATAAATAAATAATAAACATCCTTTTTTTCTTTTTTTCTTCTTCAGTTAGGGTTTTTAGGCAGGGGTTTTGAATTAGATATTTAGTGCTAAACGGAACACGAGGCGATTAGCTCAAAGTTGATGCCTACTCTGTGGATTCACACTTTTAGACAGATGAATAGCACTGCAGGTATTTAATAATTTCTTTCATCTCTGTGGCTTTCTGGGAGAACCTACTCCCTTACACGAATAGCAGAGCAGCCACTCACAAGTAAGGCATTTCAGCCAAGCTCAGGAGAATCCTCCTTTTCTGCGGAAAGCTTAGCCAGGACTAACGTCCACAGAACTGGCTGATGCGAGGTTTGTTTTGTGCCTCCACGTAATAATGAGGATTTCCACACAGCTGTTTCCAAGAAGAGTTTTGCTCTTTGGAAAACACAAGCTTTCCCATAGGCCTCTTTTTCTGCCACTGTAAACAGGCGCTGGTTTTTGACTTCCAGGATGCTGAAGTCAACGGGCAGCAGAATACAATCCAGCCCGCTCCCCGTGACTTTTGAAAGCAAGAGCGTGCAGAAAAGATGCAGCGGAAGGAATCAGCTTGCAGGGAGGCAAAGGGAAGTCACGGGAAAGGCAACAGAAAGGCATCTAAACATTTTGGAGGCATCCAAACAGCAGCAAAGTGGGAGGAAGGAGCAAGAGGCAAAATGGTAGGGAGATTTTCAGGTACAATTGTGTTTCAAAGCAGAACACCAGTCTTACAAAGTCAGAAACAGAGGCCCTATAAGGAATAAAGGTGAGATGGGAGTAAAAGGAGACTTGGGAGTGAAAATACAGGGGAAAAGCAAGGAATATTTCAGTAACAGAGAGCTGCAGAAGACCCAGGTGGGGCAGGGAAGACCCAGGATGCTCTCAGCATAGGGCTGGAGGGCAGGCGGGGAGGCAGAGAGCTGCCTGAGGAGCTCAGCTCCGCTGAAGGGTCCCTGCTGCTCACGGCTCGTGCTCCCGCTCACCAGGCCTCGCAAAACTTCTTCGACAGGCTGGGTCGGTCCGCGTTCCTCCGGCGCCGGAACCAGCCCTCCACCTTCCTCACCGGCAGGTCACACTGTTTGGCTAAACTGATCAGCTCACCCTGGAAAATAGGCGAGGAAGGAGGGTTCAGATCCAGGTTTGGAGGTCAGAAGGGGCAATGTGGGCATCTGGTCTGACCCACCGCAGAGCCCAGCTGGAGGCTCCTGGCAAGCCCAAATCTGTTCAAGCTAAGGCATCTTTCTGACAGCTGTTCCTCTTAGTGCAAAGACCTCAGATAACAAAAAATCTTCCCATTCCCCCTGTAAGCAGCTGGTTATTAATGCTAAATGTTGAAACTTTTACATTTTTTAACGTGAACTTTTCTAGTTTCAACTTTCAAACTCTGGTCTTATCTCCTCACAGGAGTTTGTTGTCGAATCACTTCCTCACCCTGCCTTCAGGGACCGAGTCCCTTAAATCTGTCACTCCAAGAAAGGTTTACTGCAGCTTAAATAATTTTTGAAGCTCTGCGCTGAATCCTGCCATGCCTTTCAGCATTCTGATGCACGATCAGCCAATACCCTGACTGACGTCATGAGCAGAGGCAACACCATTTTCCTACCGGATATTCTCCTGTTGTGTTAAACCTGTTAGGGATAATTTTTCAATAAATTGCCCACGGAAATCCTGCAATTACCTTCCCCCTTGTCCTTAGGCTTCTAAGAGTTTGGCATGTGACGTGAAAAAAGTTTGTCGGGTTTTATATTCCTTCTGGCAGTGTCACCGTGGATAGCCTTATTTTTTAAGTAAAGCAATAGTTTTTCATGGAATGCATTTACCTTAATGGTATAATGTGTGAGTGACTTACATAGTCTGAGCGTGTGGTACAGAAGTCTGTTCATTACCAATTTTCAGATATGCTTCTTCCCACTTACTTAGCAACTTCTGTTCTTGTGGTGGAGACAAATGGAGACACTGATTTATATTCTCCAACTGCTCCATAATGTGGAATTCCTTCTCCCAAGGAGAAGGCTTCTGGGAACAGCAAAACCTCATCTTGTATTGGACAAATAAAAGCTGACTCATAAGCCTGAGAGCTCATGGGAGAGGGAGGAAGCTGGAAGACTGGCCGAGGTGTAACCAGTGAACGGAGAGAGCAAGGCAGCAGCCAGCTGCACCGGTCTTGCTCGACGACACCCTGCCGTCAGGAGTCTCGTGGTGAGGATATACTCTGGTGTCACAGATTTTTTGGGATAAAAATGCCGGCTTCAGTGGAATGTGGGTGCAGGAAGCGCTGTGGGGAAATCCTGCTTGCAAAGCTAGGCCTTGAGTTAGATCCCTGCGGCAGGAGTCGTTTTACTGAGAAATGTGTGGATTTCACCGACAGGCAAGAGGAAGGTCAGGGACCACCTAGCAAGTGCTCCTGAGAACACTCCTTCCCACTGCTGGGGCAAAAGGCTGGCTGGGCAACCCAGATGAATGTCTGTATTTTTATTTTAGCCTCCATTCTTTTACTTTTAACCTGGTACTGCATGTCCTGAGGCTCAACATGCCCCACTGCAGTACAAACCATGCCGCAACAGCTTTACCAATGAAGCAATGTGTTTGTGCTAGGGCTATCCCTTGGGACTGGAACCCCAGCCCCCGGCTCATACATCCTTGGTAAGGGTTAATAACTATGGCTTCAAGGCCAAGAAAGCCTGCAAAAATAAGCTGAAAGAAAACCAAACTCCTTTCCCTAAAAATACACGGGTCACATCCAGGGACGTCACTGACAAGGTTAATTCCTAATGCTGCCTGGTAATTCACAATCCTGCCAATGCTTCTTCCCTCAGCAGCAGCCATTATAACTCTGGATTATCCTGCCAAGTTCTTCAAGATCACGCTTCTAATCTCTCATGGGAAAAAACCACCCACCGTTTGTGTTTGCAGTTTTCTGATGCTCCCTACAATCTCTGTGATGACGGCCAAGACTTCAGTTGGCTTCCTGAAAGGCCAATCTCAAACTCATGGACTGCACAGCAACAGGATGACCCACCTCAGAACTAGGGGCATCAAGCAATCCACACCCGCGGAGCTGCAAGGGCTAGCGGCACGGGAGTCAGCTCGAGGCAGCTGATGTGACAGGGATTTGCTAATATACGAAAAGAAGCCATCACAGAATGGCTGGGATTGGAAGGGAACTCTGGAGGTCATCTGGTCCAGCTCCCCTGCCCAAATAGACCAGGATCAGGACCATGCCCAGGACCGTGTCCAGACGGCAGAATCTCCAAGGATGGAGATTCCACAACCTCTCTGGGCAACCTGTGCCAGTGCCTGATCACCCTCACAGAAAGAAAGTGTTTCCTGATGTTCAGACAGAGCCTCCTGTGTTTGAGTTTGTGCCATGTATAAGGCAAACACAAGAGGGAACAGGAGTTGTCATTATTTGGCAGAACAGTTTCCTGTCCATAGAAGTTTGGGATTTAAATTTTTTGGAATGCTACCTATAGAAAGCTGCTACTCCCGCACGTTCAGGAGCAGAACTGATAGCTGACGGCATTTGCAGAAGGACCCCTGTGGCTGGCTGCTGCCAGCTGGCCAGTGCTATAGTGGTTCCTCCTACATTGTTGAGCTTCCAAATGTGAGCGGTGTTACCAAACTTCAGGATTCCAAATGTGATTTCATTGGGCTAAAGACACAAGGGCTAAATCTAGAGGAAAGCAAAGGAAGAAGGGACTCACCTTTCCAGGGTTCTTGCAGCGTGTATTGTAGAATGTTTCCAGCATGGGGTTGGGCTGAGCTTTTGGTCTCTGTTTGTCTCTCACACCCAGCCTGCTACTGAGGGGCAGGGCTATGGCTCTGCAAAAGAAAAGATAAAGGTTCAGCCAAAAATAGAGCAGTGATTTCTGATATTGCAGCACTGTTAAAACATGATGTAGTATATAACAGCTGCCTCCCACATTGTGCATCTAAGCACAAATATCATGTCAAGCAGGTAAGACAGATAAAGAAACTGAGAAGAACAAAACCCACACTTACAGCAGGAACAGTGGGACTTGTATTCTACTGTCCTGAACTCTGTGCCGTAACATCCAAACTTATATGAAGTTAGGAAATGCTATATCCTGCTTTGTCAACTTCTGAATCCGCTGTGCTTGGGTGTCTGGGATTATGGCATGAAGCCCAGGCTTGCAGAGACAGCCATGATACCTATCATTGCTCTTTGGCTTGCTTGTGGCTTATGCAGAGCACCACGCTGATGATAAGGCCTAAAGGTTGTTCACTGCTCAGTCTAGACTACTGAACAGACATGGCATCCACGTGAACTAAGGGCTTGGCTCAGGCTCAAGAGGGAGGCTCTATCAGATGTGTGGTATTAATGCAGAAGAAATGTCCTGTTGAAACAGGAGGCCACTTAAAATCATAGAATCATAGAATTGTTGGGTTGGAAAAGCCCTTTCAGCTCCCCCAGCCCAACCGCTCCCCTACCCCTGCCATCCCACCCCCAAACCCTGGCCCTCAGCACCGCCTCTGCCCGGCTGTTAAATCCCCCCAGGGCTGGGGACTCGACCCCTTCCCTGGGCAGCCCCTTCCAGCGCCTGACAGCCCCAAGGGGAAGGAATTGTTCCCCATGGCCAACCTCACCCTGCCCTGGCACAACTTGAGGCCAGTGCCCCTCGTCCCATCGCCCGTGCCCTGGGAGCAGAGACCAACACCCACCTCACTACCACCAGGTCCTATATGGACACTGCACAAACAGAAAACTTGGCAAATCAATCTTTAAAAAACCAGGCCCAAATTAACTGCATCCTCCCCAAATTTCTGGAGAATTCGTTGTTCCTTATGACTTGCTACCTTTTACACACTGCCACTGGCATGCAATTACTGTCATCTTCAGAAAAAAGAGCAGGCTCCTGCCCAGAAGCACTTTACAGCGCTGTTGCTAAACACCAAACAGGCAAAATCTTGGGAAAACCTTATCTCCACAGTTCAGATTAGAAGTTCTTTCCTTAAGGTGCTAACAGCTTCCTTGAACAGTTATTGGGTTATCAGCTGCAAATTGGTGTTGAGGGCGGTTACGAGGTCCACGCGCCGAGGAAGGGAGTGCTGAGACCAGAGGCTGGTCAGCCTTCATGCTGTTCAGGCAGGTCCTCTGATCAGTTAATTCCTATTCAGACACGCTAGGGAAGCTACTACATTATGTAGGTGTTTAAAGATGTTTTACTTAAAAATAGTATGGGATATATTTATGGCTGTGATTATACGGTGCGGTTGCCTGTGGTCTCTTCTAGCCATGCAGCCTATGCTCCGTATGCACATGTGCTTAGGGACTATTCCAGATCAAGCGTCCTTCCTGAAGGGTCTTTTGGAAGTTTTCAAGAACTCATTTCTTAATTTAATTAACAGGTATCAAAAGCAATTTTATAAGCAGACCACCTACCTAAGGAATCTTGTAACTTCTATTACATCAAGGCATAAAACACAGAATGGTTACACATTCCGCTCAGGCGTGTAATGGCTGATTTCCACCGGCCTGTGTATCCATTGTTCTTTTTCATCATCTCTGGGAAACTCCTTTGGCATCACCGGCGACAGGAACATTCAAAGATGTACTAAGGTCAATGAAAAAGATAACTCTCTACCATGAGAGAAGGGCCGGGGTAAGTCTGCGTGCTGGCTGCTTTCCGACAAGTCGCGCAGTTATGGCAAAAGCTGTGTGCAACCACTGGTCACTTCCAGTGAAATTCGGCAGCACCCTGGCAGCGCTGCAACCCGCAGTCGGCTGGATGGCAGAGGAATATAACCACCACCAGGGATTTTGGTTTTGAGCTCTGACTGCTCTTAGAGAAATGTTTCAATTATGTCTTATGATTTGTTTAATATCAAAGGGGTTAACAGTGACACTGGACCAGCAGGTCCTGTGCTAAAACCACTGGCACAGTATTTCAATGATATCCATAACCATACCGCAACTGAGAAAACCTTTACCTTAAGCTCTGCGCTAGGTCTTGGTTCTTATTTTAAGCGCTTCCTTGAAGTGGGCCTGAGCTTTCTGTTTTAAAGGCAAGTCATTCGTTACAAGCTCCTCTGAAGAAGAAGACGTGATCACGTTCCGTTGTTGAAGAACCACCTTACTGCAGCTTCTTATCAGTACATACTGGGAACTGAAAGGTCTGAAATCTTCCAGACGCACTAAAAGGCAAGAGGTGTTTCTGCCAGCTGTCAGGGCAGCCTGCCAATGAATTTTTTATTGAAAAACTTTTAAAATTATCCTGACTGATTTCTTAATTTTGTTTAATCCTCGTCTTCTCTTTATTCCCTGCTGGTTTCTGATGGCCATGGCATAAAATCTTAACTATAACAGAAACAAGCCAGTTGCAGTTGATGAAGACAGGGTGTAATTAACCAAAGTTACAATTACTTTGTTGTTGAGGTTTTGAGTTTAACGATGAATTATGGGACCAGTCTTACTGTCATGAACATCATTGGGAAATCAAGGCCTGAAATTCTTCCTAAGGGACGTTTGTACATGTTGGATGCATGCTCTGACTCAGTTTTCAGTGAAATCTTGTCCCAAGCACAACCCCAAGAGGTTGGTGCTTGTACTGATTTCAACATCACAGATTCATCATCTCAGTCGCAGGGATCATGGAGGTTTGTCAGCTGTCTGGAAGAAAGAAGGAGAACGTCTGAGGGCTAAACCGCACCACTCTCCCCAGCTAGGTAAGGCAAGGCAAAGGCAATGAGATGATTCTCATCTCAAGCCAACTTCTTCATCAGTGAGCTTCCCTCATTTCATGATTTACACGGGAAAGGTCACGCTAAGGCTTTTTATTCAGTAATCACCAAAGAACAAACTGCCTTGGGCTAAACCTGCTGAAGTTGAAACTAAATGGATTAATCATGAAGGGGCATAAACTGGTGCTCCCCCACCTTGCCACCTTCTGCAGAGGCTTTCAGAGTTAGCATCAGAGGCAAGAAATAATTTAACTGGGGGGGGAGGGTGTGTTGCTTATTTTTTTCCTCCCACAAATATTTTTCAATTTATAAGGGTGCAAATATCTTCTAGGACTAAGAAATGCAGAACCAGTGACAGCAGCAACCAGAACTTCTACTCTTTGAACTGCACAATCTCTTTTAGCCTCTTGCTTTCCTTTGGCAGAGGGCTATCCCCGCACTCCTGGAATAGTCTGTACCTTCTCTTGCTTACAGGAGAATGCTTCACATCCAAGTTAAACCAGCTGCTCCATCTAATAGAAGGTCTCAAGTCACTACAGTGCTACTGCCCAAACCAAGTCAAGTCAGTTCACAGTTTTCAACTAAATACTACAACGTGCCCCGCATCTTTGCACAACCCCCCCGCCTATAGGACCTAGCAGGAAGCTGTTTTCAGATCCTTCCAGATGATTGATCAACAACAAAAGTCTCTCTGCAGCTTGAATTTCAGGAAGATACATGTCAAAATCTTTCTCCTGGTTCTGAGTTCGAGTACCTGCTCCCCGCAGATCAACAGTGTCCCTTTCTTCTCACGTACAACACATAGCTCACACACTGTCACAACCCTCCTAAGAGACCTAATCTTTCTGATTAAAATCCTCCTCTAGTGCAATTTGGGAACTATTTGGATTCAAATTCACTTACACTGGCTTTCAGTTCCCCAACATGCAAAAAATCACTGGTCCAAGTCCAAAATCAGACAATTACATAGGATGTAATTCTGGTTTTCAACTTTCTGCTTTACTATCCCCTCAAAGCACTTGAGTTTCCACCTTTTCCTAACCACACAGGCAAGGAACACTTTGCAACAGAAGCTGTGATTCCTTCATAATCATAGCACTCCAGGAATTTGGTTTTTACGGAAAAGGGTCTCAAATGTTATAGAACTAGAAGAGAAGCCAACATCCCTGCTTGCAGGCACACATCAAGGGAGAAGTTCTGTTAAGGTACATAGGCGCTTAAAATCAGGCTCCAAGTTTGGGCGCGGGACATATCTCCTCCTCCCAAGCACAACCTGGAAACATCAAAGGATGGGGAGAGGTTCCCAACTTCTAGGTCCTCTCTCTTGTCAGGACATCATTACCTACCTCCCCCAGGACCTGCTTCACTACTGTGGCAAAGACTAGGAGCACTGCAGCAGAAGCAAGCTTTCTGCTCTCCAGCACCGAACACCCCCTGTTCCCACCTTCCCCAGAGCAAACCAGCTCGCAGAAGAGTTGCTTCACCAAAGTGTGAGCTGTTTCTTCTCCCCCCAGGGCTGCACCCACAGCCTCCTCAGCTCTCCCAGGCCGCACCCAGCTACTGTATGTCCTCTTCCCACACAGCCACCACCCAATCCACCGAATAACTGGTTGTTAAAAGGACGTCGCCGTCTTGGTTTTTCCCAGTTCAGCCAGCAGGTGCCACGGAGAGGAAAACGCTCGAGGAAGTGGGGTCTTCCCCAGGTTTAATCTCCAAACCAAGAAGATGGAGCCATGGGCCAAGCACGGTGGCTGATGCAGTTGCTGAATGAGGGATTGCAGAAAATCCTCTGGGCTTCTCCTGCCTCTCAGTATTTTCCTGGAGTTCCGACAAGGGTAAATGACATGAACACATTATGGCATTTCTGAAATCCCAGAGCAGGTGCCACCAGAAACACGGAGCATATCCAGAGAAAAAAAGCTCTTCACACCCGATGCCCAGCTGCAAGTAATAGGTGAAGGTAGAACAAATTGCCAGAGGCCAAGCTAGAGCCACCAAACCCAAACTTGCATACTGGTTACATGCACTCACTTTGACCCACAGACCAGATGTACAAAGCTACAAAGTCAAGGCCACCTACACAGAGAATGAGAAATAACACACGCATCCTTTCAGTCTACAATTCTCAAACTTTGTGCAAATGATTTTAAACAGGGGTAGCGCCCCCGTACACACGAGGTAAGGGAGCAGCCGAGGACTTGCTTCACACCTCCCATTCACTAGGGGAAGCTTTCTTCTCCAGGATGAGCTGAACATGAAACAGTAATGATTCAGAATGAGAAAATGCCGTGCTGAAGTAAATGACTGCAGAGAGTTAGGACAAACAAGAATACAGCCCAGAACACTGGCTTGTAGTTGGCACAGGTAAGATAGTGATATGATTATAGGTTCCCTGGGACCTGTAAAATGGGCTTGTGATATTATCTTTTTTTAAGGGTGTAACGAGCAGCTTTTATTTAATGAAGTTTGTGAATCAAAACAGCTTTACAATTAATGAGTAGGACCGGGTCTGTGGGAACTCTCCCAGCTGAGGCAGCGCTTGGTTAGGAAACAAAAGAAGTCTTTCTACCTGGCCATGGGCACCTCAAAGCAGATGGAAGGGATATTCAGATTGACTAGGAGCAGTGGGGCAGGAGGAAGGGGAATCAAGGGACAGAGTCACAGAAGCACAGGATCGATGCTGAGCCTCTGGAGATCATCCAGCCACCCTGCTGCTCCAGCAGGGTCGGGTACAGCAGGCTGTGGAGGGCTGTGTCCAGCTGGGTTTTGAGTATCTCTGCTGACGTGGAGACTCCACTCCCCCTCTGTTCCAACACTTGACCACCCTCCCAGTAAAAAAGCATTTTGTTATGTTCAGCCATAGTACCACACGTTTCCATTTGTGCCCATCGCCTCTTGCCCTGTCGCTGGGCATCACCGAGAAGAGTTTGGCTCCTTCTTCCTGTTCATGTCTTGTGCTGGGCAGCCTAAAACTGGACAGTCCTTGAAGGACTTGGGGGGGGACATGGGGAGGACTTGCAGGACACGGGGCTAATCTCCGGCTTTGCATTGTAAATGCATCCAGGTCACCAACTGACAGTGCCTACCTGAAGGAGTATCCAGCCATGTCTTGCAGATCAGCAAGGAAGAAACATGAGTCACTTGTGTTTTAATGGTTACCTGCAGCACCTCGGTTCCCACATCACTGGAGGTAACAGAGACACCTATGTCCCCAGGAAAGTGCAGGATAAAATCCATGGAATTTATGGAATGCACACTAAACGTATTGTTTACAAAGAAGAGATTCAGATTCCAACTTTGTATCATCATAAAACCATGATTTAAAGAATCATTCACACATTTGTGTTTATGTAAAAATACTGGCTATAATTTGGGGGGTGTGTGTGTTATTAGAAACATTCTCAAAGCAGAGCTGTGAATCATTTCAACTTCTATAAACTTTTCCAAGCCGTTCTTGTATCACAGAGAATCTGGAGAAGAAACATCTTTCTAGCCTACAGAGGTCTTGCTTCCATTTTCTTGCGCAGGCACTTTTTTAAAAAAGGTAACAGAAACATTTCAACTGTCTTTTTTTCCCTTTTTCTAAGCTTAAAACCACTGTAGATTTGACTAAACTATTTCAAAAGATTACCTCTTCCATCATCAACTAGCAATAGGGATTTAAATCTAGGGAGAACCACTTTGAAGAGTATTCAAAACCACAGAAGGGGACTTTACTCTGTAGTCTTGACAATGACACGATGGTAAATAACCGTTATCCACCAGCAAATCACCCTGGTGTTGCAGACCACACGAACTATTGGCTAAACTGCATAAAGCGACAGCACCAGCTCAGGACCTTGATGAAAGTCAGAGTCAATGAAGCCTGCAGGATTTCTAGCTATGCCTTTGCCATAACCCCCAAATTTTGCATGCTGAAGAGTAATATGCAAAACACTCAAACAGCTCCGGCCAGAAAGAAGCTACAAATGTCTCCATGCGGCACTCCCAAGGAAATGAGACTCCTGAACCCAGAGCAGTGGTCAGTGAAATAGAATCATAGAATCATAGAATCACTGAGGTTGGAAAAGCCCCTTAAGATCATCAAGCCCAACCGTTCCCCTACCCCTGCCATCCCACCCCCAAACCCTGGCCCTCAGCACCGCCTCTGCCCGGCTG